GACTCAATTAAGCCAAACTAAAATGAGAAACCTGGATAGATATAGAGTGGTTTGGCTAATTATCTTTCATACTTGTCCTGCTACTTTTGCTCTAGTGTGTGTGCGTGTGTATGTGTGTGTTAGCGTCTATACGCAATACAAGTCCTAAATCAGAGTTATCAAAGGTCCAATGTCAGGCTTAATGACCCAAGAGAAAGAGTCCCGATTGAGACTGCGCAAGTTCGTAAGCAAGTATATTTAAGATAATGAGATATGAACTTGTGAGCATGTAAGTCATGTTACTAAACCACTTGTCCTAATCTCTCAGTTTAGGATCATTAATGTTTAGCCACCCGAGGAAAGGAACGACTAGGGCTGCATAATCTTGCACATCTGGTTTGTTTGATGAGTTTAATCTAACATGTTGGACGATTTTGAGTAAAGTTAGATCCATCCACGAGCAGACAAATTAAGTTGCCTTCTTCTTGACGATGGCTTAACACCCTCTCTCTCTTTCAATCTATCAATCAAGCATGAGTTGTTCCTACTCAACTTTATACCACCGTTCCTCACATTAAACGTATTTTATAAGCTATTAGTTTCAATAGCCTCTCTTATCTTTCTTTTAACCACAGATGTACCCTAATCAGCAAACCTACTAGTTTGAGACCATTCTATTTCATGCCCAGTTTCAAACATGTGTTCGGCCACTTCTGTTCGTTGGATTTAGCTACCTTTGTAAGCATTTTTCTGTTATACTAATCTTTGTCGAATAGGTCGGCATGCCTCACCAACATAACATCGACCACATGGACAAACAATCTTATAGCAGCCGGATTTTGGTATTGGGTCATAATTCTTTCCAAAAGATGACATAACAGAAGAAAGTGTGAGGGTTTCTTTGAACAATGTTTTTATGCCCCACTGCTTTACTAATTCCCCTATCTTTTTTGAGCGAAGACATGACGGCAAAATTAGGAAATAGGTAAAGGTCTTATTAAGATCGCGATGTTAGGTGTATAAAAAGCGACTAGGTTTCCAGCCGGCCACCTTTTCTCTTGGTTTAGTATATGTTTGCTCTATTTCGTAAGGTATGGAATCTTGCTCTGATGATTTATATTGACGTACCTTTCATTTAGTTTAAGAAGAGATTTGTAGATTGGTCTCACCGGATACCGTGAATAATGGTTTCTTGTTATGATGATGTCTGTCACAGTACAGACGAAAGCTTACCACAGTTTCATTGGGATCACTAAATGGTGAGCCGAGGGCTTCTTTGCACAATTAATCAGTCTTCCCTACGCGACAATCCTCCTTTGGTTTCTTGTAAGAACACACTACGAATTCCTACCAACCAAATTTATCCTTCGAAATGGAGAGTCCTGCTATAAAAGTAGACGTCTTTGATCATACACGTGGTCCATTAAGCAAAGGCGTTATGATCAGAATTCCTCGGGATCGCCATCCAGCCTGAGAATTCAGACCTTGTCGGCCTACTCAACAATACGGGAATATATGTGCCATCAAAGGCTTGAGGCAGAGTATTGGAGCTAACGTCTCAAGTTATACAGATAGGATAGCAGAGATCAAGTGGAATACCTGAACCATGGAGACAGGAGATGGATCCTACGGGGCAAGGGGGGACTCCGATAGAACTTATGGAAAGAGGATTGCGGACCAATATGGCAGACTGAGAACAACGTTGCCAGCACAAGGGTAGAAGGTTGAGCTGTGAAGAGTTCTCATGAAATCCACCACAGGTAAATAAGTAATTAAGAAATTGTGATATTCTAGGGGTGGTATGGGGATATAGGATAAGTGAATATCCCAGGACAAAAGGAGAAATACCACAACAGTTTAGTAGACAATTGGTGAAAGATGGACTTTACTTGTTTCTTTGACGAGTTGTAATGTGGTGCTAAGTATGGCAAGGCTCACTGATGCTGCCGACTACAATGCCGGCGAGATATCTGGCATTGTACCAAGCCCACGACCCGAATCTGTAAATGATCATGCATACAATGGACTCCGGACTACGTGCGTTCCTCTAGGTCTTCCTGCCAATACAAACAAGTTGCGAAAACAAGATCAAGCAACTACTATACAATGAAAGGAGACCGCGATCATACAAAAGGCCACACCATCTTGGTTTTCATATCTGCTGGCTTTTTGGTCACATCGGCATAAAATCAGTCTCGAAACAATACTTAATGCGAAAAATAAAGTATAGTAGTCGATTGTTATAGCAAAATATCCGTTTGCTTTATCGACAATCCCACCAAAGAATATGATATGGCAAAAGGCATGGCCTTCCTTAAAAATTCACATTTGCCCTGTGACCCAAAAGGAGCTCGTGACAGTTTAGCTGAGTGGTTAGCGTGTCAACCTCCCATCCTGCACTGTCGCGGTTCGACTCCCGCTGAGGGTGTTGATAAGGGCGATGCGAGGTCGAAACTGCAGTCCACTCCAACCGGGATGAAAACAACTGTTGGGAAAGCAAGGCTATGTGAAATTCAATGTAAACGTCACGCGAACTCAAATCATTGTGGGAAAATTCTTCTACCAGTCCTTCATCACCTTAAACGAAATTGGGTGAATACATTTTTTTTATTTCTCTTGTATTTTTCTCACTTCAGTTGCATATTGGCCACTGATATGGCTCGACATAACGACATTCTTAACCAATTTAAGACGTGTCTTCTAGATGATCTGGAGGCTATGCAAACCATCAGCCAGGAGACTGATAGACCATTGTGGGCCTCTGATAAGAGGTTGCGGGATCTTGTGATGTGCATTCTGATCAAGGTTTGTGACATCTCCAATGAAGCTCGACCTTTAGATGTGTCCTGTCACTGGATAGACCGATTGTTAGAAGAATTTTTCACCCAGGTCAGTTTGAAATTATAGTTGGGTTCACAGAAGTAATTCCCGTTATTATCCTGCCTCTTAAATAAATCGCTAAGCATTGATCCATAATTTTAGGAAATGGAAGATAACACTAGTAAAGTTGAGTATTTTAGCTTTAAGTGCACTCATTACCCCCTCAAAAAGAAAAAAGGTTGCGAATCTTTTAACATGATAAAGAGATATTCTAATAGAATTCATAATTCAACCATATTACTAACTGAACTTTTAAAACTATGTTACATATTTTGCTCTGTGAACTATTCCTAGCTTTGGCCTAATCTCACACTTCTGGTTATGCTGATACAGCATAATGTGTCTTAGTTACCCTGTTAACCAACGTTAGACATAAAATCCAGCATACAACTTGTATATTTCCAGAAAACTTTCTCCATAATTACTAGGTTTGAATAACTTGCCAGTTAGATGTATAGCACTTACCTAGTTGTTCGAGCCCAGCCATATTTTTGACAAAATCAGTGCCCATTATTTTTGGATAATTCCTCTAAACTGGACTACTTAGCACATCTTGCATTTATAAAAAGCTCTTTGTCCTGGAGGGCAACATTCCCAAACCTAAAGTAAGTTTAACCGGAGCAGATGGGTGGACTTATGGCGGCAATAGAATTATGGCGATGCCGACTGCATCTCCAATCATGCAGTTCATGAGTTACTGTACAGCCTCCTATACTGTTAATCCAATTAGGTTAGGTTTACACGATATAAGGGAAATATTAACCCAAAATTAGATTCATCACATATCCTTTCTAAGACTCAATAATAAATACGAAGCATATATTTAACTAGGTTGCTCTAGCATTAATTTTATCAATATTATTTGTATATAGGATAAATCGTATGAACTGGCATCGAATAAAAAGCTGCACCAAAATTATGTCTAAAATTATAAAATTAACTCATGTCGACAATTCCCATTTGATAAATTCGCATAACAGTCATTGGCCACCGAAAGGACGAGTAAAACAAATGAAGAGTACTCTTGAGATCG